GAAGTGAGCAAATGCTTTTGGAAAATGGCGCCAATAGACTTGGTGGACGCAGGGTCGCCATAAATGTTCAATTTGTGAAAAACATGGTATCTGTGGAGTGCAATGAAATGAAGTCTGCCTGTATTAGAACAAGAAACCTCACCTTGTTTTCAGCAAGACCAATGACAGTCAAGGCAGTTTTGAGTGGTGGGCGCTGAGACCACCAGGTGCCAGGATTGATTATGAAGCTGTAATCTTGTGCACTGTGTGGACCACTTGTGCAGATATGACCCTAGAACAATGAGCCACCCAGCCCAGAGGCAGGGTTTGGCTGCACCCGCCCAGTCAGGTCGGTCCCAGTGGATAGTTGGCACCCAGCAGAGAGAGGTTGGCTCATGAGGTTTAAGGAAAGAATATATAACATCAAAGTGGAGCAAGGCCACTGAGCACCTGAAGGGGAGGGGGCATGACCCTAGCTGTGCCCCAAGGCTTTGCTGAGAAGCCTATCTGGGTAAGGGTGGGGAAGTGGACTTGCCAACCTGATGCAGCCACGGCCGCCAGTTAACTCGCTTGCCTTTTCTTTGGCTGACTGGTAGTTGCACGTGTGACTGTTGCTCCCTGACCATCAGTTAAGAGTACTCACCGGAGTCACGTGCATGGACGCCCACTTTCCATCCCACTGGCTAATTGCTGCCTCACGTGAATCCAGACCTATGTACTCAGCAAAAAAGGGATGAAACACTTTACCTGCCCCCACGCCCACTGTTCCCACTAGATCTTGGTAGTGGGAAGTCTCCCAGTCCCTGGGGCAGGGAGGTCCAGGGTCTCAGGACACTTAGGAAACTTTTTCGGTTTTGTTTTATTTTTAAAAATTGAGGTGAAATGGGCTTAGCATAACATCAGTCATTTCACAGTGAACAATAGTGTCATTTAGTACATCACAGTGTTGTACAATCATCACCTCTGTCTAGTTCCAAAATATTTTATCACCTCAAAAGGAAACCCTGTACCCATTAACAGTCACTGTTGGTGAGGAGGGTATAGCTTAGTGGTAGAGCATGTGCTTAGCGTGCACGAGATCCTGGGTTCAGTCCAAAGTACCTCCATTAAAATAAATTAATAAACCTAATCACCTTCCCCTCCTCAAACAAAACAACAACAAAATAGTCATTCCCCATTCTCCGCTCCCCCAGCCTCTGGCAACCACAAGTCCACTTTCTGTCTTTATAGATTTGCCTGTTCTAAATATTCTTATAAATGGAAGCACAAAATAGGTGACCTTTTGTGTCTGATTTATTTTACTGAGCATAATGTCTTCAAGGTTTATTCACATTGTGATTCCTTTTTGTGTCCTGCATAATGTTCCCTTTTATGTTTTGTTTATCCATTCACCTGTTAGTGGACATTTGTGTTGTTTCTATCTTTTGTCTATGGTGAGTAATGATGCTGTGAACATTGGCATACAAGTATTTGTTTGAGTCCCTGATTTCAGTTCTTTTGGATGTACATCCAGAGGAGGAATTGCTGGGTCATATGGTGATTGATTCAGTGTTTAACTTTTTGAGAACTGCTAGACTTTTCCATAGCAGCTGCACCATTCTGCATTCCCAACTGCAGTGTACGAAGGTTCCAATTTCTCTATCTTCTCGCCAACACTTGTTTTTTTCTGTTAAAATAAATTAGAGCCATCCTGATGGGTGTGAAGTGGTATCTCATTGTGGTTTTCATGTACATTTCTCTCATTAAGGATTTTGAGCATCTTCTCGTGAGCTTGTTGGCCATTTGTATGTCTTCCTCGGAGAAATGTCCATTCAAGTCCTTTTGAATTGGGGTGTTTGTCTTTTTGTTGCTTAGTTGTAAGAGTTCTTTCAATATTCTGGATACTAGAGTCTTATGAGATACATGCCTTTTGAATGTTTTCTCTTGTTCTGTGGGTTGTCCTTTTACTTTCTTCACAGTCTTTAGATGCACAAAAGTTCTAAATTTGATGAAGTCCAGTTTACCTATTTTTTGTGTTGTTGCTCTTGCTTTTGGAGGCGTATTTGAGAATCTACTGCCAAATCCAAGGTCATGAAGATTAACCTATGTTTTCTTCGAAGAGTTGTAATAGCATTAGCTTTTATGTTTAGGTTTTTCATCCCTTTTGAGTTAATTTTTAAATATGGTGTGAGGTAAAGGCCCAACCTCATTCTTTAGCTTTTAGGCCTGTTTTTCCCAGCACCATTGGAAAAGACTATCCTTTTCCCATTGAGTGGTCTCGGCATCCTTGCCAAAAATCATTTGACCATATATGCAAGGGTCTATCTCTGGGCTCTCCATTGTGTTTTCTTGGTCTTTATGTCCTTGTGCCACTACCACAGTTCTAACTACTGTAGCTTCGTACTAAGTTTTTAAATCAGGAAAGCAAGTACTTCAACTTTTTTTTTATTTGTTTTTTTTTGAGGGGAGAGGTAATCAGGAATTAATTAATTAATTAATTAAGTGGAGGCACTGAGGATTGAACTCAGGACCTCATTCATGCTGAGCACGTGCTCTACCACTGAGCTATACCCTCCCCCTCAACCTTCTTTTCAATTTCACTTTCATTATTTGGGGCCCCTTGCAATTCCATATGGATCTGAGGATTGCCCTTTCCACTCCTACAAAAAAGGCCATTGGACTTTTGATAGAGATCTCATCAACTCTGTAGATACTTTGTTAATACTGTCATCTTAACAATATTAAGTCATCAAATCCAGGGACAAAGATGCCTTTCAATTTATTTAGGTCTTCTTTGATCTCCTTCAGCAATGTTTTGTACCATCATTCACCTCCTTGGTTAAATTTATCTCTAGGTATTTTATTCTTTTGGATGCTATTATAAGTGGTATAGTTTCCTTAGTTTCTTTTTCAGATTGCTTATTGCTGGTGTATAGAAACACACCTGAGTTTTGTGTGTTGGTCTTGTGCCCTGCAGCTTTGCTGAACTGGCTTATTAGCTCCAGTAGTTTTGGGTGGCTAACTGGCATTCTCTGTTATTTGTGATTGTGTCGTCTGTGAATATAGTTCTACTTCTTCCTTTCCAACTCCAAAGGCTTTAGGTATTTTCCTTGACTGATTGCTCTGGCTGGACCTCCAGGAGTGTTGAATGGCAGTGGTGAAAATGGGCATCCTTGTCTTGATCCTGATCATAAGGAGAAAGTTTTGTCTTGCACCATTAAATTAGCTGTGGATTCTGACTGACTGATGAATCACACTGACTGATGAACCGCATTCCTGGGATAAATCCCACTTGATCATGGTGTATATACAATCCTATTAATATGCTGTTAGATTTCTTTTGCTAGTATCTTGTTGAAGATTTTTGTATTTATATTCATAAAGAAGACTAGCATCTTTGTCTGGCTTTGTTACCAGGGTAATACTGGCCTCATAGGATGAGGCAGGAAGTGTTCTCTCCTCTTCTAAATTTTTGGAGTTTGGGTAGGTTTGGTGTTAATTTTTCTTCGAATCCTTAGGAGAATGTGTTAACAAAGCCATCTGACACAGTATTTTTCTCTCTTGGGAGGTCTCTGATTACTGATTCAGTCTTCTTATTATAGATCTTTCTGCCTGACCTGAGTCACTTTTTTTTTTTAACAAATAATACATTTTATTTAAGTTACTCAACACACGTACGTTTAAAGTAAACCATTTAAATCAGATGAAATTCAAACTACAAAACCTATAAAACCTATTTAGAAATCAACTTAACTTCTCATGGACACATATTGTACATTAATTAATTAATTAATTAAATTAATCCTTATTTTTAAAAACAATTTTATTAAATTTTTGTCCTTCCAGTTTTATTGAGATGTGATTGACATACAGCACTGTATGCTTTTTTGGCGGGGGAGGGGAGGTAGTTAAATGTTATTAACTTACTTACTTTTTAAATGGAGGCACTGAGGATTGTACCTAGGACCTTGTGCTTGCTAGGCAAGCACTCTACCACTGAGCTATACCCTCCCCTTCTTCTTTTTTTTTTTTTGTAGGGGAGAGGTAATTAGGTTTACTTACTTATTTTCAGAGGAGGTACTGGGGATTGAACCCAGGACCTTGTGTGTGCTAAGCATGTACCCTACCAGTTGAGCTATACCCTCCCCTCCTAATCCTTATTTTTGATGGTAGCAACCCCTCCATGTTGATGGGGTCTCGGTATTTATAGGCGAATCGTCTCCGCCAGGTCCATGATGGCCACTTCTGACTCACACTACCCAGCTGGCTGCCCCTTGCCCCCGACCCTCACCAGCGAGCTCTCCCGCTCTAGTGGGGTGCTGCCCCCAACACACCGGGTCCTGGGCGCCAAGCACGAACTGGGTCCCTGGCCTGCTCTGAGGCGCCACCTGGCAAGAACAGCCTGCAGATGGACACGCTGTTGCCCCCATGACCCCGGGGAGCAAGAACGCAGGTGGGAAGTGAGCTGGGTGATCCAAGACTCTCGACTTTCTGAGCTACTTTTAACAGTTGATGCGTCTTTAGAAATGTATCTAATATGTCTAGGCTACCTAATTTGTTGGCTACAATTGTTCATACTGTTCTCTTGTAATCCTTTTTGTCTTAATGTTGGTAGTAATGTCCCCACATAACTTTTTTGACTTGATATTTACATATTTTTTTTTCTTCATCAGTCAAGCTAGGATTTTGTCAATTTTGTTGATTAGGAACTTTAAAGGTCAGTTTGTTGGTATATGAGTTCTACCTTACTTAGTGGCTTTGGCACTGAATCCCTGAGGACAAAGGAAGGAAGGTCATGGTATCCTTGGGCTGTGGGATACAGGGAAGGGGTGGATTCGGGGCCAGGAGAACGGTTGTCATGTTGTCAAGGGAACCCCTCAGCAGAGGGATGCAAGCAGCTGTCTCAGAACTGGGGAAGGTGTCCTTTCCACCAGAATCTATTCACTTCTGAAAGGGGTGTTTATTGATCCTGTGGGTGCTAGAGGCATGGGGGTGAGGGGTGCTGGGAGAGGCCAACACAGCGATAAAATTAAAGAAAAAGGTTGCCTCCCAAACCCAATTATCTTGACATTTAAATCCCCACCTCTATCACATGATGTGTTAAGAGGAGAGATCACAACCTCCAGAAGGCCCACAAGAGCCAAACAGAGCCTGCAGGTTTGGGGGTGGGGTCCTTAGCTGCGTCTGAGAAATCGGGAGGAACAGAAAGAAATAAAGCAAGTCTGCAACCTGAGAAGACAGGATGCAAACCTGAAAAAGGCGAAAGGAAATAAACGCATGTATGTGCATGAAATAGCAAAAGAGGGCAGTTGACTGAAGAACCCATGGCTGGAGCTTCAAGGAGACTGGTGAGGGGCTGAGACAAAGGCCCTGGATGAACATCGGGAGTGGAGGCCCTCCGCCGCAGCAGGGGTCTGGAAGTTGTGGGGGCACCATGGACCAAGCACTCAACAACTGCCCTGGTGTTCAGTGCTGTGCTCAGGTTTTCCGAGTCTTCACAGGACAGTTGCAATAACTGGTGACATTCTTGGACTCAACATGAACTGATTTGGAGATCTTCCCGCTCCTGAAAGGCCACCTGGCCGGGTGGGTGGGGGAAGGGGCCTGACCCCGTCCTGCCAGGGCTGGGATGCCTAAAAGCACAAAGTGTCAGGCCATCCCCATGTGGACGCAGAGGCCCAGGGAGCTGAGGGCTCATAAATTCTGCCCCCTCAGGGAAGAAGGTTCTGATCTGACCAGGGCTATGAGGAGGGCAGACTTGGCCTCAGCAGATGCTGAAGATGCATCAAAATCATCTCTGAGTGAAAACCTCAAGGCAAAGGAGAAGACACCCAGAGCCCCTGAGATGGAGGGAGGCTCACACACACCCTCCTCCTGGGGACAGGACCTGTGCCCAAGTCCCTCACCCCCTCAAGGTGGGTGGGACCTCCCAGCCCTGGCTCTGCAGGCCAAGCTCAGGAGAGATGGGGCACCTTCTGCAGCAGACAGGGCCCCAGCCAAGTCTGGGCATCACTGCCATCACCAGGCAGCCTCCCCATCCAGATGTGTGACAGCTGCAGGGGCAGAACACTTTGCAGGGGAGAAGCCCCTAGGTAGGGTCGAGGTCTCAGGAGGGCCGGCATGTCAAGCAGCGGCTTCCAGGGGGTGTTGGCTTGAGAAAGAGTGGGTGGGAAGAACAGACCAGATCTTAAATCCCAGCCCCTTGGGCAGGTCAGAAGGCCCCGGCCACCCACTGCTTACCCCTCTGGAAAGCCTACCCAGGGTCTGGTGCCCCCTGCCAGTGGGCTGTCCATCCTGTGGTCAGAGGAGACCTCTGCTGCCCCCCAGGAAGCTTCGACTGACTGAGTTTTAGAAGGTGAAGGCAGCACCTGAGCCAGACAGAAATGCGGTTTTCAACATGAGCCTGTGCTTCTTGTTGAGAAGCAAGGAGGACCCTTGCCCACAGCACCCCCCAGTGCCAGGTGGATGACTCGCCTGGGTAAAGCTTCTGGGAATGGGAGCCCAGGCCTCACCTTGTGTCGCTGAGGGCCCTGCTCCCCATTTCTCTTGGGTTGACAAAGAAACAGCAGACTTGCGTGAGATGGGATGGAGGAAGTGTCCGGTGGAGCAGACAAGACCATGTCCGGGCCTTTCTTTCACCAGGTCCACAGTTTGTCCAGCCCTGAGGAACCAGGCCGAGGCCCCCACCAGCATGGAGTCCCACAGAGGCAGGAGAGGCGGCCCCGAGGGACGTGGTTGTGCAGGTGTCAGCACCAGGAGCTACCAGTGCAGAGGCTCTGGAGCCCGACTCAGCTGGTGAGTGTGTGGGATGGGGAGGATGCTGGGGAGCGGGCTGGGTGATGGGCAGGGACCCCAGGCTCACACTCAGTGAGACAGGGGCCACGGAGGCTTTGGGTGGAGGGATGCT